ATCCCGATGTCTGGTAACAGCTGCGGATAAGCCTACACAAATCCAGACGCCGTACTAAGTGCTTTTCTTGTCACACTCCAATTGCAATAATGCTAAAATTTTTTCCATTTTTTGTATTACTTTTTGCTTGCACCATCTTGTCTTCTCCTACTTCTATTTTTAGAAACCGTTATCAACCCAGTTGCACCAAAAAATAAGTTTATTCTCTGTGTGGTGGATAAGAGGCTGTACAAATGATTCCCATTACTGCTTCACCCATTACTCTGTCTGCTCAAAACCAAGTGATGAAACAGACCGCCTGTTCGTATGCTCGTCTACAGCATAAATTCAATCTCACTCGCCCAATTTCTTTCAAAAATTTTGATTTATGCCTTTATTTACGTAGACAGTACCACACGGGCGTTCACTGACGCATGACAGTCTTCCGATCCAATACAGCGCCGGGTTTTTAACACAGTGATTTTTTTCTCCGGACGGTTTCGTTTGCTCCTCTGGCAACTACCAAGTAATTGGGATATACTGATTGTCATAAAACTGTGCTATTTCATTGCTAATTGCGATACATTCTACTGAATTAGAATAAATGCCCAGCAGCAGCTCCTTTCAGACACTATCTCAGGGCAATTCCAACTTACAGTAGTCATTCAAATGCAGATCTGAGCTCTAGTATAGTGCTGGAATGCAAATCCTGACCTCAACGTGCTGCGAGTTTCTCTTTCGAACGGGAACAGGTAGGAGTGGCGAAGAAAAGCTCATCTACGAAGCTGATATTCATGGCACCCCGGTATGGACAATGATAATAAAAGCAGTTGCTGACCTGAGGATCGCACAGATAGTAAGTGATCCATTCGGCGGATGCCGAGATGTAATCAAGATACCAGCACGCCGAAAGAATTGCATAGTAACCATTTTCTGTTGCATACTTCAACTTATCATTACTTTTCCAGATATGTGCTACCAGACCGTTATCCACGATTTTTTCTTTTGTTTGCTCTGTTTCTTCTATGGCCTCCTATAAAAATCCATTGTAATATTTAACGCCTTTGGATGTTTTTAAAGTATTTCAAAAAGACATTCGTAATAAGTTACAAATTTATACAAATGTTCTTACTTGCCATACAAGATATTTTTTACTAGCGCCAGACGGTAGACTGTGAAGAAGTTTGAGTAATTTTTGGAAATACCATACTTCTAAGCCATGACCATCTTTCAACCCATAGGTCTGCAACATGTTTTACTTCGAAATAAGAATTTTTGAATTTACGAGGTTAAAGTTCCAAACCTTAAAACAGAAAGGACCGTGTCCACCTCTTCATATTACTGTGCTGAAAGTAGCACTATGCGGATGTAAATCGCAGAAATGGACAAAAGTAGAAAAGCGAGCGTTGATTAAAACGAAACAAAAAATACTGCATTTTTTACAAAAAAAAAAAGTGTCTCCGTTACTGAACAAACAGTCACTCTTTGTCGTGCGAACTAGTACACGAGAAGGTAAGATTCACTGGGTTGGAAACATATTGCTAACTTTATTCATAAATGGCTATTTTAGCAGACAGTACCCAAAAGGGAGCAAATGACCACTTGAGTCGCCACTGAAGAAGTCGCGCACATGCGTTGACCAAACACACATGCACGACTAATTAGATAGAGAATTTAGAGAAGAGAAGCATGACATAGATCTACCCCACATATTGAAGGATTTCAGTTCTCAGAAAGCATAATTTTGAAGTTCCCGTATTAGGTTATTTCCCTCGTTAAGTCACTATTGCAATCAGTAACAATGATTGTCACTCGGAAGCTCAAACCGTTTTGGTCATATTAACAAACTTGGTATTTTTTAATAATATTTTAGAAGCACAATAAATACCTTCATAAATTGA